CTCCTCCTCCCCAACCTCCTTCTTCAGCTTCTCTTCTCGTGCCCTCCCCGCCTCCACGTCCCTCGCCAGTCCCTCCTTCGCCCCAATCACCTCCGCCAGCCTGCCCTTCACCTCCCTCACCTGCGCCTCCTCTCCCTCCACCCGCTTCGCCAGCTCGCCAATTCTCTCCTCAAGCCCCTCCTTCTCCCTCTGCCGCGCCTGCCTCTCCGCCTCAAGCCCCTCCTCCGCCTGCTCGCGCCTCTCCTTCTCCATCGCGCCTCCCTCCTCCAGCGCCCTGCAGCTCGCCCTCAGACCCGCCAGCAGCCCCTCCAGCTGCGCTTGCTGCTTCTCCACCGCCTCCCGCTGCTCCTGCTGCTCCTGCACCTGCTGTTGCGCTCTGCTCTTCTCTTCCTCTGCTGCCGCCAGCACTCTCTCTGTCGCCTCCAGCGCCGCCTCTCTCTCCTTGAGCGTCCCTCCCAGTGCAGCCAGCTCAGCCTTCAATTCACCCACGCGTTGCTCCACCTCACCTCTCCTCGCCTCTTCCTCCTCAACCATCCTCACCTTCTCTGCCACCTCCGCCTCTCGCTCCTTCACCTGCCCGGACAGTTCTTCCACCTGCCCGCTCAGCTGCTCCACCTGCCCTTGAAGCCCCTGCAGCCGCACCTCCAGCGCTGCTCTCTCTTCATCCACCCGCCTTCTTTCCTCTTCCACCTTCTCCTTCGCCTCCTGCAGCTCCCGCACTGCACCCTCAGCCCTCCTCTTGCCCTCCTCCTCCTCACCTCTCGCCCGCTCCACAGCATCCCTCTCCTCCTCCACTCTCCTCCTCTCCCTCTCAGCCACCTCCCTCGCATGCTCCACCCTCCCCTTCTCCTCACTCACTCGTCTCAGCGCCTCCTCCACCTCCTCCGCCCGCGCCCTCACCACCCGCACCTCCTGCTCTAGCGCCACCCTCTCCATCTCCACCGCCTCCCTCACTCGCCTCTCCTCCTCCACCTCCCTCTCCCTCTCCTCCATCTCTCCCTCCCGGCACCTCAGAGCCTCCCTCGTGCTCGCCAGCTCCTCCCGAATCACCCCAATCTCGCCCTGCGCCCTCGCAGCCTCCGCCTCCGCCCTCTCCCTTGCCTGCACAGCCCCCCCCACCTCCTCAGCCACGCGTTTCTTGAGCTCCTCCGCCTCCACCAGCGCTTCCAGCAGCTCCTGCTCCTTCTGCTGCTCCGCCCGCTCCCTCACCCGCACCTCCTCCTCCTTGCCTCGTAGCAGCGCCTCTTTCTCCTCCACCTCGCGCTGCACCTCCCTCAGCTGCCGCACCACCATGGTGTGCTCCACCTGCAGCTCCTCGAACTCCAGGATGCGCTGCCCCTCCTCCTCCAGCAGCTGCACCTCGCCCCGCCCCACCTGCTCTCGCGCTTCCTCCACCTCCTCCTTCAGCCGCCGCACCGTCTCCTCCGCGTCCTCCCGCATCGCCTGCGCCTCCGCGCCCAGCCGCGCCAGCTCGCCGTCCCGCTCCGCCAGCTGCGCCTTCACGGCGTCGATCACGTCCTCCCTCTCCTTCAGCAGCCCCCGCAGCAGCTCCGCCTCCCTCTCCAGCATCGCCAGGTCGCCCTGAGCGTCCTCCAGCTCGCCCGCGCGCCGGCTCGCCTCCCGCTCCATGGCATCCATCTGCCTCGCCTTCAGCTCCGACTCGTGGATCAGGTCCCACACCTCGCGCCCCTTCTCCCGCACCTCGGCTGTCAGCCGCTGCACCTCTCTCTCCTTGGCCGCGGCTGCCCTCTCCGCCACGGCCACGGCCTTGCTGCTGTCATCCAGGGCGCCCCTCAGCGCACTGATTTCAGCGTCGCGCTGCTCTATCTCGCCCTCCAGCTCCGCAACCTTGCTGCGCCACATGCCCGCCTCCTCCCTCGCCTGCCTCACCCGCTCCTCACTCCCCTCATCCCCACCTTCCTTCGCCCCGCTTGCCCCCCCGTTCTCTCCTCCCACTCGCCCCGCATGGCCGTCCGCGCCCACAGCACTGCCAGCATCACTGCCCAGCAGCACCAGGCGGCTCACCTCCCGCCTCAGCGCCTCCTTCTCCGCCCTCTCCGCCTCCACCTGCGCCTCCGCGCGCCTCTGCGCCTCCTCCCCCTCGCGCAGCTGGGTCAGGCGGAACCGCAGCTCTCTCTCCTTGTCCGCCAGCCTGCCCCGCAGCTCCCCCTCCAGCGCGCGCCAGTCCTCCGCCCTCTGCGCCAGCTCGCCCTGCGCCTCCTTCACGCGCGCAGACAGCTGCATGGCATCCGTGTGCAACTGAGTCAGCACGGCGCCGCTGTCCCCACCAGCCAGCGCGGCCAGCAGCGAGTGCTGGCGCTCCACCACGTGCGCCTTCTCCCGCTCCACCTCCACCAGCGACTCCTGCAGTGACGTCACCTCCTTGCTGCGCTCCCTCACCTCCGCCTCCAGCTCCCACACGCGCTTCTCCAGGCTCGCCCCGCCACCAGACCCATCCACCATGCTGCTGCCTGCCCCCGCGCCTGCCTGCAGCCCCTCGAGGAACTCGAGCTGCAGCTGCTGGTTCACGAGGTCCTCCTCCAGCCGCCTCTCCCGCCGCGCCCACTGCTGCCGCTCCTCCTCCCTCGCCCTCTCCGCCGCGTCCGCCCTCTCGCGCTCCCACGCCGCCTGCTGCTGCGCCTGCTGCACCTCCACGCGCCGCTGCTCCACCTCCACCTTCAGCTCCACCAGCCACTTCGCCTCAGGTACGCCCTCCCCCGAATGCACCTCCCTCACGCGCGCCAGTGCCTGCTTGCTCGCCTCCGCCTGCATGACTGCCTCCTGCCGCGCCTGCCTCACCTTCTCCGCCTCCACAGCCAGCGCGCCGCGCAGCCGCTCCACCTGCTCCTGCAGCTCCGCCGCCTGCACCTGCGCCAGCTGCTTGCCATCACTGGCGTCGCGCCACATCTGCATGGCGCCCTCCACCACCTCCTTCGCCTCCCGCTCCTCCGCGCTCACCCGCTCCACCTCCTCCTCCAGGCTGCCCACTCGCGCCTCCAGCTCCTCCTTCCGTTTCGCCACCTGCTGGTAACCAGATCGCAGGGAGTCCATCTGTCGCCGCAGCGCCCTGAGCTCCTTGTCCGCCTCGGCGAGCTTGCCTTCCGCCTCCTCCCGCCGGCTCACCGCCTCCTCGCGCTTGCCGCGCTCGCGGGCGACCATGCGCGTCTTGTGCGCCACCACGTCCTCCAGAACCCTCACCATGTCCTCCCCACCCTCCGCTCGCTTCCCCCCTGCTGCTGTCGACGCCTCGTTTGAGCCACTCTCAGGTTCGTCACCGCTCTGCACTGCACTCGACCGCTGCAGAGCACGGGTCCACTCGTCCAGCTTCGCGTCGGCGGCGGCTCGCTCCGCCTCCGCGTCCCGCGCCCTGCCCATCCACGCCTCGCTCCGCCGCCGCTCCTCCGCCAGCCCAGCCACCGCCTCGTCCCGCTCGCCCGCCAGCCTCCGCCTCTCCGCGTCCACCGCGTCCAGCTCCGCGCGCAACCGGCTCGTCTCCAAGCCAGCCCACCCCTCCCGCCCTTCGCCGGACCCCTGCAGCCACGGGCTGCTCACTTCGCCATCGATCGCGAAACCCATGTTACTTTGTCGCTCGCCATCGTCATCGCCATGGCGATGGCCGTTCACGAACGGGCCTCGCACGCTATTGCTGGCGCCGCTCGCAAGACCGCCGGGGTCTTCCGCGGTGCGGGCCTGGGAGTGCTTGGAGGCTGGCTGGTGCGACGCCGCGTCAAGAACGTGCGAGTGCTTCGAAGTGACAGGGCGGCTGCCGAGACTCCCGATGTCGCGAATGCTGGCTCCGGGCGGGAGCTCCTGGCCCTGATCCATTTGCAGCAACCGCCCCAGTTTCGCTTCCATTTCGTCACGTTGCTGGTAACCCGATGTCATGTCTTGCACTGCAGGACCAGCGTGAACCGTTCCCGGGTCATCCCTGTCCGTCGCGTGTCGCCCACGTGGCGAGCCGTCGCTCAAGGAGCTCCAGAAATCGTCGCCTTCCTTGTCGTCCAAATACTCTGCGAAGCCTCCCAAACCGGATGCCGAATCTGCACCTGAGGCTGCACCCGCGCGAGCAGACGGCGGAGGTTCGGTGAAATCGAGATCGCGCTCGAGCTCCTCGAAGAAGTCGCCGGGATCGCTGGGCGCGTTGAATCCGTTGACCTCGCCATGTAACGGAGGAGACAACAGCGAGCTCGACGGCGACGTGTCGTCGTCGTCCTCGCGGCGAGACGCCATGGCTCACGCAGTCGTTAGCTTCGCGAAGCAATCAGCGAGTTGTGCGATGCAAGGAATCCATCATCGTAGACCGGCAAGCGCAATGCATCGAACCCTGTCAGATTCTCATGCGTGCAGCACCAGGAGTTCCTAGTTCTACTTTTCACATCATAACTCAAAACTAGCTGGCACTTCAACCAGCGAACTCTGTCAGTAGCAGATGAAGTCAAATCTGTGTGTTTGAAGTTGGAGTCTTGGGCTTTGCTTCTTCCTCCCACCCCAAAATCCTCCTCGAAATTGCATGCCGTCAAAATTCGGCCGCCAGTTTGACGGAATCTGGTCTCGATTGTCGCATGCTCGAGAGCCGAGGGTCGCACGTCCGTTCGATGCCTTGGGCTTCTCATGCATCGACGCTACGAATGGGTGAGACGCAGTCGTTCTTTCCTCGGTGTGCTTCGGTACCACGATAAGCAGCAGTACAGTACTTTCCAACATGTGCTGACATGACAAGAATGGCTTGAAATTTGTTTAGCAACCCTAGACCCTTCCTCAATATCCCTCCCTTCTGTATGCCAACATTCCTCATTCATTCTCAATTTCCCAAAGACTACCATACCATACTACCAGTAAGTTTCTTTCTTACTTCCACCCTGATTCCAACAAAGGGTGCTTCAAAAGGAAATTCGGGCCCCACCTCACTCAGTACCCCGATCTCATATTTTGGGAGTTCATGATAACCAGACAAAGGGTTTCATCAAAGGATACTACCACAAATATGTCTCCCATTCAACCTATACTCCTGTGCCACACCAGCCCGCCGAACCTCCCTCTTTATCCAACCCACTGTAAGACACATCGACATGCCTGAGTGACCTGGCCCATCTGAGTGAATCCGGGAGAGACTTGAGTGCTGAACAGTCCTGTAGATGCAGCACTTCCAGGAGCGGCAGCAGGCCCATCTGAGGAGGCAGTGAGTGCAGGCGCTCGCAGCGGCGGAAGTCGGCCACACGGAGGGACAGCAGAGAGGGGAAGGAGGCGGGCAGGTGAGTGAAGGATTCACAGCCGTTGATTGTCAGCCGGGCTAGTCGGGGCAGGGAGCCGAAACCATGAGCGAGGTTGGAAAGGTTAGGGCACTGTGTGATGGTGAGACGGACGAGGGAGACGAGCGAGGAGAACGAGTCGGGAAGGCTCTGCAAGTGAGAGCAGGAGTGGATGGAGAGGTGTTGGAGGGCGCCTAGGGAGCCGAAATCAGCGGGCAGGGTGACAAGGCAGCCACTGCCGGTTATGGTGAGTGTGTGCAGGCGAGAGAGGAGACAAAAGGAGGGAGGCAGGCTGGCAAGAACTGGGGAGGTCAAGGATGCTTCTTGCAGGGAAGACAGGCCGCTGAGAGTGTTTGGCAGAGAGGAAAACACCCCCTCAATAGTCACCTTCGTTAGTGCCCCAAGGGAGCCAAACTCTTGAGGCAGATGCTCCAACTGACTACACTGTGCAAGCAGCTCTTCTGGACTAGTCATCCTGGTCATCCTTTCCAGAAATGATAGAACCCTCTTCTCTGATGTTGTCTGGAACGAAGGTCCCAGTGTGTGGAAAGTAGGCGCTCTCCTTGATGCATAATTTCCGAAGTGAAAGCAGGCGGGCGAGGTGAGGAGGGGGAGAGGGGATGAAGACATCTGTGAGGTGGACCTCGGTGAGGGAGGTGAGGTGGGAGATGAACGCGGGCAGAGCGAGGCGCTTGCATTCCAAGCTGCTGCAGCTGCCGTCGCCATCGCCGCCGCTGCTGCCGCTGCTAAAGGTGGAGCGAAAATTGTACTCCAGAGATAACGACTGGAGCGATGGGGCGAGGAGAGAGACAGAGTCTGGAAGGCGGAGAAAGCAGGCAGAGAGGGAGAGAGAGCGGAGGTTGGTGAGGAGGCGAAAGGCGGAAAGCACGAGAGTGCAGGGCTTGAGAGCGGAGATGGCGAGGTGCGTGAGTGAGCAGAGGGACCAGACGCGGGCGGATAGGTAGCTGCCGTGCGAGCTATCATTGCCTAAGCGCAACTCCAGGGGCTGCAACGAGGGGCTGAGAGGCGAGCTCTTCCCCGCTTGAGCGGCAGCGGTAGCAGTGGCGGCGGCGACGGCAGCAGCAGCAGTGGCAAAAGCAGCACCCGCAGTGGCGGCAGCAGCAGCAAGAGCAGCGACAGCAGGAGGGGCGGCAACTGCAGCAGTGGCGGCGGCCGAGGCAGCAGCAGCAGCGGCGGTTTCTGAAGTGAGGGATAGAGGCAGATAGCCCAGCAGTGATCCTTCGCCTTGGTCGCATTGTTCCACCCACTTCACCCTGTCCACACTCACGTGCGACAGCGACGGCAAGGCGAACAAGCCCACAGGAAAGTCCACATTCACGTTGCCACGGGACCTTGAACCCAAGACCTTGAGGCGTTGGAGGGAGGTGAGTCGGCTGAGTGGGTGGAACGGCACAGTGGACCAAACACCCTCGACAGTCAAGTGTCGCAGCGGTAAATCGCAGGGGATGTGGTGGATGGGGAGAGGCTCGAGGTGGTCGCAGGAGCGGAGGGTGAGGCGAGTGAGGGTCTCCAGCCATGTGGGCGGGAGAGAGCGCATGCTGCACTTGTCCAGCGAAACCTCTTCCAGCTTCGCCCACGCGTCTGGCAGCTCGCCCTCGAAGTGTCGCAGCTCCAGGCGCCGCAGCTGCTGCAGATTTCCGTTAATGCGGAGGGAGGAGAGCAACGAGAGGTCGCCTAGAGAATCGGGCGGGCGGTACGAGCTCCTGCACCCCCTCCTCATGGACAGGTGCCTCAAAGCTTTCAGCTGCCCCAAGTTCTCGGGCAGCTCCTGCAGCATGGGGCAGGTGAGATGCAGCTCCTGAAGTGCGCGCAGATGGCACAGTCCGTCCGGGAGCTGTTGCAACGTGTTGGAGCGCAGGCGAAGCACGCGCAGCGAGGACAGCGACGAGATGGAATCAGGAAGTCTCGTGACGACGGGAGGAAGCAGCAGCGCGAGCTCCTGTAACTGCGGCGCTGCAGCGCGGAAGAATGAGTCGAGCGGTGCGAGGCCGATCGTGAAGGGCGGCGGTGCGGCGGTAAAACAAGGCTCGCCGAAGCTCACCTGCGTGAGCTTGGGACAAGCGGCGAGCAGCGAGGTAAGGAAGTGGTGGTCGTAGAGATCGAGGGCGTCATCGCCCAGCGTGAGTGAAGTCGCGCTTGGCGCGCGGGACAAGGCGCGGAAGAGCGCGGGCGCGGAGAGCGTGGAGGCGGGAAGCAGCGAGTCGTATTGATCGGCAGAGTCCTCCCGACGAGATGGCGAGTCTGCAGCAGCGGTGATGCGCACGACGGGCAGCAGCAAGGCCCATCGCTTCGACACCATCCCCATGCCATGGCACGGGCTGACATCGGAATCCACGCTGGGCACCGTGTCACTCGCGGCAGCGTCGAGTTGAGAGTCGATGTGGGGGGTTGCTGCGAGAAAGAGAATTCTGGAAAGAATTTCGTCAGGCAGACTGTTCATTGACGCTAGAGAATTCCCGCGATCTGCTGCTGCTGCTGCTGACCGATCGACCTGGATGCTCGTAGCGAGGACGCTCGTGCTCGTCACCTAGCTCATCCACACGCTGGCTACTAGCCAGATCACGCGACCTGGGTGGACCCACAAACTCCATTCTCGCTGCCCGTTCTGTAAGACTGTTACGAGTGCAATTGAGTGAATGAACGAGAATTGCACTATCGAAGCAAGAGTACAATGAGCGAAGGCATGAGCGAAGAATATATAGCGAAACTACAGTGGTAACGGTAATGGTCGCGCGACGAGCCTGGGCCTGAGGTTGGGAAAGTGTCGAAGCGTAGGCCCGGAGCGCGGGTTACCAGCCGAGCCGTGAGGTCGGGATGCGATGTGCGAAAATGGCGGGATGATGAATGATGCGATGGTCGCGAGTGGTAACAGTGCTGACTGAGGTGCTACAGTGATGTACGCGTTGAGCAGGGATGCGAAGTAAGGAAAAGGGAATTTCCTTACACTACCCCCCCCTCCTAAAAGTCCTCCTTACGAAAGCGCGTGGACGTCTTTGAAGTTTCGGCTGCGCAGATAGTCGGTGACGACAGGGTGGTTTTCAATTCTGTCCGGGGGAACCCAGTTGTCCTCGGTGAGTGTACGATCTTTCCAGCGGATCAGAAACTCAACTTTTCGGGCTCCTCGAGGGTCGCGAACTCTGTGGCTCAAGATTTTGTTGGGGGTGATGACTGGTTCGGTTGGTGGTCGTGACATGCTGGATGGTCGATGTCGTGGGAGTTGGCTGGTGGATGGTACGTAAGGGCGAAGCAGGCTGACGTGGAACGAGGGGCTGACGTACCAGTCAGCAGGAAGGAGGAGGTGCGCGGTGACAGGTGTGATCATGTGACTGATTCGAAATGGCCCACAGTATCGAGGGCGGAGTTTGGGAGTGATGGGCAGGCGGAGGTTCTGAGTGTCGAGTAAAACGAGGTCGTCGGGCTGATAGGTGACGGGTCTGCGGTGGCGATCAGCGTTGCGTTTAGCGATGATATTTGATTTTTTGATTGCTTCTGCTGCCCTGGTCCGTGCTGCTTGCAAAATCTCGGCGAACTGTTGTGCGCGTGGAACGGGATTGTCGGGGTTTGGTGTCATGGGTAATGTTGGGTTCTGTCCGTAATTCAAGTAGAATGGCGACTGTTGGGTCGTGGCAGATGGCGCGTTGTTGTATGCGAACTCGATGAGAGGCAGCTGCTGCTCCCACGTGTTTGGGTCGTCACACGTGGCTCGAATGAGCTGCTCCATAGTCTGGTTTGTCCGTTCTGTCTGTCCGTCGGTTTCGGGGTGATACGATGAACTGAATTGAAGTATCGTGCCGAACTGCTGCCACAGGTTCCGCCAGAAATTACTGGTAAACTTCGTGTCCCTGTCGCTGATGATCGACGCTGGTATCCCGTGCAGTCGAACGACAGTGGCGATGAAGAGTCGGGCTGTTTCCTCGGCTGTGATTGATTTTGATTTCCTGCATGCTGCGAAATGTGCCATTTTCGTTAGTCGATCGACGACGACCAGGATCGCGTCATTCCCACTCGCCCCGGCCAGTAACCCCGTGACGAAGTCCATCGTCACCTGCTGCCAAGCACGCTCTGGAGGTGGGATTGGTTGTAATTGTCCCGCTGGCCGCTTCCTGGTTGACTTCATGAGTTGGCAAGTGGTGACAAAATTAGAAGAAAGAAAGTGGGGTGTAATCAGCAGAGCAGGCAAAGCAGTACAAGCTCAGGGTGGATCACAATGTCACCACACATTCTGAGCACAAGTTCAAGAAGCAATAGTTTAAAGTTAAGAATTATGAGCAAAGCTAGAGGTAGTCACAACGGGCAAGTGAGGAGGAGGAGAGAGACTGAGAGGAGAGGAGATAGGAGGCGACGGCTGAAGCTGCAGACACACGGGCAACAGGAGGCACACTGGCACAGCGGCTACCGGGCGAAGCCCCCGGACTACTGGAGTAACTGGCCCCGCGGCTAAAGTAGCGGCAGACGAGCAACGGACCCACGGGCGACTGGCACAGGTGGCTACGACTGGGCTACCGGAGCAACTCCCCGGACTACAGGTGCTGCTGGCGACACGACGGCAACCTCCGTTCAACCTCCCCCAAACAGTACCACCTCCCTTGACACACACACCCTGCTTCACCCCTAGCTCCACTCCCCCTTCACCCCCCCTTAGTACCACAGCGGGCAGAGAACCGCCGCGCGCATCGGGGCGAGCGGCGGGGAGAAAACCGCCGCGCGCCTCGGGGCGCACGGCGGGCAGAAAACCGCCGCGCGCCTCGGGGCGCACGGCGGGAAGGAAAGCGTTGCAGCGGAAGCGAGGTGGTAACCCACCCACAGGATCGATCCAAAGGGATCGACCTGCTCTGATAGCATGACAAAATTAGAAGAAAGAAAGAGGATTGAACTAGCAGGAATGAGGATACAAATAGCAAACCCTAGAAGGGTTGTACTCGCTATAGAGCACCCCACTACAGGCTAGAACATAAGATAACATTCTGACAAGTGGGACACGATGCCACGTGTCGTTGCACGTCGGTCAACATTTCCGGCCAGTAATAGTACCGCTGCAGCTGCTGCCGTGTTTTTTCTACTCCGAAATGTCCCGAGGTAACTCCGTCGTGTGCCTCCTGTAACAGTAGTTCCCGTAGTAGCGTGTACCCTGGTACCCAGATGCGGTCGGATCCAGCTTTTACGTAATAGACTCCCTTGGCTGCTGCGAATTGCTGTGAATTTCCTCATGTGAAGAATGGGTCTGTTTGTTATCCGTGGGTAAATAGTCCTGTCAGTAACGGGCTGGTCTGGGCGAGTAGTATCGCATGGATTTGGGCAGTGGGGCGGGTCAGTGCGTCGGCGATATTCGAGGCTCCTTTTTTATATGTGACCGTATAGTGGAAATTCGACTCGAGGAAGTCGAGCCACCGAATCTGTCGTGGGTTGAGGTGGGGCTGTGCGCGAAGGTACTGTAGGGATCGATGGTCTGTCCGTACTGTCACGTCTGCGCCGGTCAAGTAGCAGCGCCACACCTTGAATGCATGCACGATTGCGAGCATTTCGCGGTCGGGTATCGGGTAATTTCGCTCAGGTGGATGTAGCTTGCGTGATTCGTAGGCGATGGGTTGGAGGCCGTTGCCGAAGTCCTGTAACAGTACGGCTCCGATGGCGATGTCACTCGCGTCTGCAACAACTTCAAAGGGGCGGTGTGGGTCAGCGATGCGTAGGACGGGTGGTAAACAGATAACATTTTTCAGGGCAGAGAAGGCAGCATGCTCTTTCTCCCCCCACGTAAAAGGGACCCCCTTACGCAGTAAATCAGTGAGCGGGGCTGTTAAGCGTGCCATGTCGGGGACGAACCGACGAACGTAATTAACAAACCCTAAAAAGCTCTGCAGTTCCGTGATGTTCGTCGGGGGATGCCACGCTTTTACGGTATCCAGCTTCTTAGGGTCTATCTCAACCCCAGCCTCCGAAATGACGTGACCTAAAAACTCTAGCCGGTCCTGAAAAAACTCGCACTTGGAGCCCTTGGTGAGTAACCGATGTGCGTCTAAAATTTTAAAAACTGCTTCGAGATCTACTAAGTGCTGCTGCTGGTCCCGACTGTAAACGAGGATGTCGTCGAGGTAAACTATGACGCATTTATCTAAAAGTGGCCTAAACGCCTCGTTCATGGTCATCTGAAATGTTGCGGGCGCGTTGGTCAGCCCGAAAGGCATCACCGTGTACTCGAATGACCCGTACCTAGTCCTAAATGCTGTCTTGGCGCAGTCCGATGGTTCGACCCGAATTTGATGGTAACCTCCCTGTAAGTCTATTTTCGAAAATACTCGTGCGGTTCGCAGCTGATCGATCAGTTCGTCGGCGCGGGGGATGGGGTATCGTGATTTTACTGTTACCCTGTTAAGCGCTCGGTAGTCGATGCACATGCGAAACCCTCCGTCTTTTTTCGGTGTGAACAGTATCGGCGCGGCGAACGGTGACGAGCTCGGTCGGATAAACTGCTTCTCTAACAGGTAATCTAACTGCTTCCTTAGCTCGTCGAGCTCGGGCTGTGTCAGTCGAAATTGGCGCTGTACAGTTGGCTGTGCCCCCGGTTCTAACTCGATCCTATGGTCATGCGCCCGCTGAGGTGGCAGTCCTTGCGGTAAGTCATCCCGAAAGATACCCGGGAACCGTTTCAGTAGTGCCTGTAGTTCGGGTGGTACGGCTGCCAACAGTTTCTGCAAATCACTCGGCTGCTCCTCTTTTTCCACTAATGCGATATCCACTGCGTACACGTCAGCTCCAGCAGCGACAGCCCGTTTCATCGTGATGGCGTTGACCTGGACCGTCGAAGACTCGGGTGGCTGCCAGCGAGGTAGGACGACCCAGTTACCACTACTTCGCACTGTGCAGCTACCCGTCGTCCAGTCAATTCGTGGGTTATACTGTCGCAGCCAATCACGTCCCAATAAAATGTCGTGCCCATCCAGTGTCGTTGCGAGCATTTCCTGTGTAAACCCGAAGTTCCCTCCGCAGCGGACTTTTACTCTCTCCACCTTTTCCCGTATAGCAAGTGGCGTGCCGTCGACTAAGCGTGCATCTATCTCAGGTAAGCATCGGTTAAGTGTTAACTGTAATTTCCGTGCGGTTGCGGTATTAACTAAGCTGTGACTTGCTCCTCCGTCAATAAAAATCTTCACTGCTGCTCCCTGTATTTTCCCGTAGATTAGTACCGGGCAATCCGTCGCTGTACCCTCCTTATTCATCCGAGCCCGATCGATGGCATGAATCGGTACTGTGACTCGGTGAGGGTCGGTGTGGTTGGGCGAGCAGGCAGTCTCGTCAGTAGTTGGCCCAACTTCTACTGACTGCTGGCGTTTCCCTGCCTCTGAGACTCCCTCCCCTGCTCTGCTCCTCGGCGCCTCAGCTCCTCTGGGCATTCGCTCTTGCGATGGCCCGGCCTGTTGCAAGCAAAGCAGCGCCCCTTAAACG